GCAAGTTAAGACTTGATGAGTAATCGATACACACAAGTTCACTTTGTGTGAAGAGTATTCCTTTCAAATCTGTACAAATGAACACACTTTTAACATGTCAGGTGGTGTCAGGCTTGTGGAGGTAAGACAGACTAACACATCTGTGAGAGTTGGTCTGACCTGATGAGGATGGTAAATTGGTGAAGCCGGCCAGGCAGTCTTTTCTTTTGTTTAGCGATGGTGATAACTTCCTCTCCGTTTTCTTTGCTCAGCTGCTGAGGGCTGCAGACAGGACAAGATACATTCAGTGGAAACAAGAGAAAGGATGGGGAATATACGTGAAAGTATGATGGCAAACGTAAATAAACCTTTTCGTTTGTGTGGGTGTTGTGTTGGCGCCATCTGATTTCCACATGTGATCCTCGGTGTCTCGGACCTTATCCATGAAACGCTCCGCCAGAACCGTGGAGCGCTCCAAACCCTCGGCCTCTCGCTCGGGGCTGCGCCGGTCGATGCTGATCAGATCAACTGGACATAACGAGCACAACAACAACATTAGGCTTGTAAAAATAACATGGTTTTGGGCATCAGTGTTTCATGTGTTTGAGCAAAAGTTGTCTAAGCTGGCACTGAGTGTGGGCCAAATTACAAGTGTAAAGGTCCCCTATTATACTGTGTTTCATCAATATATTATAGGTCTCAGATACAGAACATGTCTCTGAAGTGTTTGGCTCCAAACACCAAGCAGATCATTGCAGCATTACCCATAATCCCCTCTGTTTCAGCCCTGTTTCAAAAGTGCTGATTCTCTGTCTGTGACTTTAGATGAAAATAAGGAGCCCCTCCCCACGCCCCTCTGAGAGATATTTGGTTACAAATAACTCAATGGTGCTCTAGGAGGAGATTCAGGTGATAAGGTGGGGGGGGGGGTTATCTTGGTTGGTGATTGGCTAATGGTTACACAACCCAAAAAATCGTTATGACATCATAAAGTGGCCAAATTAGGTTTTTATATAAATGGATCAGGACAAAAAGAGAGAATCTTTTTTTCTGACACTTTGAGAATCTCTTTACACAGAGGGGACACATGGTTATGTATAACAGACGTGAAAAAGTGGATTCTGCATAATAGGTGACCTTTAAGAGATAGTTTGGCGATCTAAAGAAGCATTATGCTGTATTAATAGCTTCCTCCACACACACTGACCATAGAAGTCAGAGGGGTTGCAGTATCGTGGGCAGGGGTATCCCAGGGCAGTGAAGTACGGCACCATGTCCCGGGCAGCGCCACAGTAAACAGCTGATCCCGACGACAGCAGCACCACCAGGTCGAACAGCTGGAAGATGTCGGAGCGCGGCTGGTGGACGGACAGCAGCACCAGGCGGTTCCCCCGGGCCAGGCGGGACAGGGTGAGCACCAGGTTGTGGGGCCGTGAAGCTGTCCAGACCTGAGGTGGGCTCGTCCAGGATCAGAATACCTACATATAAAAACACTAGTTCAATAATCCATCAAATGACATACATCTTTGTCAACAATTGGCGTTGTTTATCAGGTCTGAAGAGTTATTATTAATAGATAGATGATAGATAGATGGATAGGTACTTTTATTGAATTGTTGCGTTGCAGCAGCATAAAAAACACAAGGCAATGTACATAAGAGAAACACAGAAATAAATAGTCCAATATATTTCAGAAATAGAAATAGAAATAAAATAGTAAACAATAAAATATAATTGTCTTTCCTAAAGGAGAACCAGGTTGAGGTGTATACAATTGAACCGACATAAGGACCAAGATTTAGTGCTTACAATTACAAATACATTACAAGCAAAATCATAATAACGTACAGAAAATAGTTCATTGCAAAAGTTAAAGAAATCAAGAGTTTTTCCGTTGTTTCTCTCACCGGGGTTCCAGAGAAGTTGAACAGCTATACTGACTCTCCTCCTCTCCCCTCCAGAGACCCCCCCTCACATAGTCGTTTCCCACCCTGGTGTGAGCGCACTGTCGCAGCCGCAGCTCTGCGATGACATCATCCACCTGAGTCAGTGTAATGTATGGTTTAGTATTACAGCAAAAATATATTTAAAGAAAAAATGATCGGCAGCTAGTCCAAACATTTGGAGGAAACATTATCTTTCCTCATGGTCGGTTATGATCTTTTAAAAGAAAATAAGAAATCAGTACTTAAGACTCCAAATTGTGCAAAATGGGGAGAATAAGTAAGTGGGGGCAAAAGAGTCACATTAATTCACAAATGTATTTATTATTATCCTCTTACTATGTACATCGACTGAAGCCTTACTGGAATGGAATTGTTATGATTTCACTTTACATTTTTAGGTCAGTTTTTATTATAATTCTTACCCATTGGTTTGCATTGAGCTTTGTTGACATTGAGAACAGAGCACAGTGAAGTGTGTCATTGTTTTTAAGTTTAATACTTTTTCTTAATCCTTAATTTAGTGTGGTAGGTAGGTTACTCCAAATGTTATCAACCTTATAGTGAATTTCTCTGGTGACTTTCTAACTAAGGTGCTGACAAGTGCTAAGCTAACTTGTGTATATTTGTGTATCTGGTTAAACCTCACCCTCTGGTCCCTCTGAGCCTGGGTGAAGTGGGTGGGGAGCCTCAGTTTGGCAACGAATGCGAGAGTTTCGCGGACGGTGAGGTGAGGAAGAAGGCGGTCATCCTGCCGAACGTGAGCGATGCTCTTCTTCACCAGCTGGGGAGTGTTGGGCTTCCCGTTAATCAGAACCTGACCGGACGTCATTTTCCCGCCCTCATCACGACACGTTATGATGTCCAGCAGGGAGGTTTTACCACAACCTGGGAGAAGAAGAGTACAAAGCTCAAATGAGGCAAAAACAAGTCAAATTGTGAAAAAAGTACATATTATTTTTAGATGTATTTATAAGTCTGTAGACGTAGCTGAGCTATTTCTTTATTTCTTTATACTTCATGCATCTAGACTCTAGAGTCTAAAAGAACGAAGAGAGTTTTTGTTGTTTCCTGTAGTCCACTGCAGATCAATGATCGTTATCCAAGAAGGCCATTGCATCTAAAGTACTTAAAAGCCAAGTGTGTGTGTGTGTGTGTGTGTGTGTGTGTGTGTGTGTGTGTGTGTGTGTGTGTGTGTGTGTGTGTGTGTGTGTGTGTGTGTGTGTGTGTGTGTGTGTGTGTGTGTGTGTGCGTGTATATTTGTCACCTGAGCTGCCAATGATGGCTAACATCTGCCCGCTGCGGACCCTCAGGCTCAGCTTGTTTATGGCTGTCTGCTTGTCTCCTTTCATCTCCCACGGCAACTTGAACTCTGATAACCTCTCGTACCAGGGAATCTGAGCTGCCGTGTCCACCTGACACACAAACACACACACACACACACACACACACACACACACACACACACACACACTATGAGCACAACAGGCACATATACAGCACAGACATGCACCAGCTAAAAGCTAAAGAAAGCTGTACGTGAGAGCAGATCGGTTGCCCTCGGTTACCTCATAGTGCAGGTTGTTGACCTCCAGCTCATTGCACCCCCCGCTGTAGGTGAAGTAGAGGCTGCTGTCCTCATCAGACGAGAATAACTCTTTGTCTTGATGCTGTGGAAAAAATAAATGACACAATGACTCAATTCACATTTTATACGTGTATCCATATCAGTTCAGAAGGACAAACTGCAATATAATGGAAATGAAGATCATTAAAGCCATACAAGTCTTTGCCAAATGATTGAATACTTATTAATGAAAGTTTCTTCCTTACATGCTTACAATTACACAACTGAGAACATGGACTGCACATCTTACATTTCACTTTATCAATGATTTGCATGAGCAAGTGAGTGAGTGAGTGTATATGTGTGTGTGTGCGTGTGTGTGTGTGACCTTTGTTGGTACAGAGTCCTTTTGAAAACCTTTAAATGTCCCCAATAAAAGAAATGCCCACACTAAGTTGTCCGACCCTCTTCAATTAAAACATTAAACTACAGATTTGTTTCAATGTCATTCAGACATCATTAATAAAAGAGACTGGATTATGTTTTGTGTTGTGCTGTCCTGGTCTAATACAGAATGGTTTTACACAAGGCAGCAACTTGTTGTTTAGACAAATAGCTGATAGGTTAGCTGTTAGCAACACTTTTTCAGTATTGCACTGTGGGAAAAACTAGAACCAGAATATGTAAAGCTGCACATTCAATTTGTAAACTTAAAAACATTGATATATATATTATGGACAGAGGTACATTGACATATATTAAAATATTGTGTAAATCATAGACAAAATATTAATTACTTTGGTATCCAACTTTTTAACCAGAAATATGAGTAGGTCCATATCAACTAAATTACCACTTAACATTTTTCCAAATTGGAGTAATTTGTTGAGGGGATTATAAATAAATCTGGACTCTGTTATCCCCACATTGAAAACTGATTCAGCCACTTTAGGTTTGATTCATAAAATCAGCGGTTATGCATCAGCCAAAGACAGTAGCTGTGTTTTGTGATAATGGAAAGAAGGTTTAGATATGACTTGAAGTAACCAAAGTATTTAATCAGAGGAACCTAAAATCAATACATTGTTACGATGACTGACCTGCGAGGAGCTGTTTGCATGATTTGGGCCGATGTCTGCATCCATGATGATGCAAGTTGACTTGTAGGGTGGAGGGGTCAACACCCCCCTATTACTTCTTCAGTTCAATTCGCCTCTTTTCCTCTCTTTGGGTTTCTTCCTTTGTTTCTCCTCTGTTCTTCTCCTCTCTGTCAGACGATTCGACTCCAGTCCAGCTGAAGACCTCCTCTGGTCTCAGCTCACAGGCCCTTTCCTACAAAAAAAAACGTCCCAAGCTCATGTCACAGAGTTGTTCCTCTGCTCTGTCCCGTCACATAGCTATTCTGGCCACAGTGACACATTGAGGACAACCAGCCAGTCCACTCAGCATGTGTTTTTTTTGGTCTGCTTTATACAACTCCAGATCAAAGTTCTCAGAGATAAGGCTGTGTGTTTATGGTCCCGCAGAGACTCGCACTGCTGATCCGTACAGGGACTGAGTGCAGAGAAACAAAGTCTGTGAGAAACCTGAAGTTTAGAGCCTGTGGATATGTACAAACTGATCTGAGGCTGACTCCATTTACGGTTGATGTTTGGAGTGGCAGAATGGCCGGAGACATGAACACATTTTATTCAATGGAGCCGGTGGAGCCGGAGAGCGGGACCGAAGTCGGAGGGTCCTTCAGGTCTGTGTCGGAGGGGAAGAGGGACGTGTGGAGGGGAGAGGAGCCGTCAGAGCCCTCCTGCTGCCTCAGTGTCAGCAAGGTCTCCCTACACTGTCAGGTAACAAGAGCATGACTGAGAGACACAAACACACTCTGAGGATCAATAACGTGGCATACAGATTACTTTAGTGCGTACAGGTTTTGGTCAAAATATCAAAAACCTTTGAGGTCTTACCCACATTTTCTAATGAAATAGCAGACAATAAATATAATGTATAAGCTTCTTGATACATTCTATATTCTTTCAAATCATGTTTTTATTGTGTGTGTGTGTGTGTGTGTGTGTGTGTGTGTGTGTGTGTGTGTGTGTGTGTGTGTGTGTGTGTGTGTGTGTGTGTGTGTGTGTGTGTGTGTGTGTGTGTGTGTGTGTGTGTGTTCCAGTGAGCGTTTGGGTCCATGGTGGGACTTGCCCTCCTACAGGAAGCGATGGACTCGTCAGATCCTCAATGACGTCTCCTTTCACGTAGAGAGCGGGCAGATCATGGGCATTCTGGGAAATTCAGGTTCGCACCTAAAGGAACACCAAACAGTAGAGCTAACACTCAACAAATAATCAACACATTAAATAAATCCGTTTTTTTTAAATATACAGTAATATCATTTTTAAAGGGAATGGATCTGAGTTATTTAGGTATTATACATGGACTTCATCTAAATAATTAATGATGTTATGCTAAAGGAGGTTTAACAGGCAATTTGGTGGCAGCTATCTATTTTGGCTACAGGTTATATTAATTGGTTAAAACCAGATTGTGCGATTGGGGAAATGCCCCGATGCAACTAACATGCATTCATGTGTTCCTTCTGTTCCCCCTTCCAAAATGTTATTAAATGTGACAAGATGTACCCTGTCTTTGAAGACTATTATGTTCCTATGTATCCATGTGTATGTGTTTGTGCATATTGTCCTGTACAGGCTCAGGAAAGACCACACTGCTGGATGCGGTCTCAGGGAGGATTGGAAACTGTGGCACGCTGACGGGGGAGGTCTTCGTTAACGGCATGAACCTGAAGAGAGAGGAGTTTCAGGACTGCTTCTCCTATGTGCTGCAGGTAACACATACCTCCAGTATAAACAGAGACTATCAGTTATTATCAGTTATATCTGACCACAGTAATTCATTATCTTTTTCTAGATGGTTCAAACTGGGCCTTCAGCGCGGCCTAACAAGACTGAATAAAATAAATAAATACAAATTGAAAAAGCACTAAATCACATGCACATTTTGCTTTTTTCAGGTTAAACTTTTGATAAATAATTGGTTTGAGGGGGGGTCGTCGGAGTAACTGACTAATTGACTAATTGTAACTGACACATATATTAAAAATAATAACCAACACAACATTGATGATAGTCTGCTTCGTATTGTATGCACCATAAAAAGGTTTGTTTATACATGGCACTTTAGATCACCCTACATGGTATTTTTGTTTAATATGCAGTTTATTCATATGGAATAGGGGGTCCCTGCTCCATTGCTCTTTAGCTAAGGGGTCTTTGGCCTGAGAAACGTTAAAGAGCCCTGGTCCAAAAGTATTAAATGTGAGCGGCTGCATGCAGAAAGTTTGCTTGTGTTAAAGTTGCTTGATGCTAACCACCACAAAGTCAAAATGAACGTGTCTCATTTGGTAAAAACTCCTGGAAAGGTTGCCCTGGCCTCTGGATGAAATTAAATGAAGGCCCTCGCTGGCCTCCTCATACACTTAATCTCTCAATGAGAGGTGCTCAAGTGTATCCAAAGCCTGAATTAAAAACAGTCTTAAAACTGGCCTTGCTTCCTTTCAAATCATCTCCCTCTTCTGGCTGATAGCACCCCCCCTGCTCTCTAAGCCTCGTCATTAACTTCCCCTGCTAAGCTGTAGATGAGGAGGTGATATGAGCTCCTGATATTAAAGTCATTCAGATGGAGCAGTGGGACTGGGAGGCGCCACGTGTTAATTGAGGCAGGCAGCAGGTTCAAGCAATGTGTGTACAGTATATGTGTGTGTGTGTGCGCGCGAGTGTGTGTGTGTGTTCCAGTTGGAATATATGAACATATGAACGGGCGGCTGTGGCTCAGTGGATAGAATGCTGCACTTAGAATCAGGGGGTACCAAGTTCGAGTCCCACTGCAGTCAGCATGTCATTGTGTCCCTGGGCAAGACACTTCACCCCAAATTGCTCCTGTGGGGATTGCCCACAGTATTGAGTATGTAAGTCGCTTTGGATAAAAGCGTCTAACAAGTAACATGTAATGTAATATATACACAGTATATATCAAGTATACTGCTGTATGTGTCCTATATGCATGTAAAGATGACACATACTCTGAAATCTCAACTTTAATGAGTGTGCTGCAGGACGTTTAAAGGACATGTTATGCCATTTCCCCTCAATATGTTTCGAGATACATTGTAGTTTGAATACTAGAGTACACACAAGAGGAAGACAGATATGTTCTTCATGGTGGACATAATTACTTATCCTCCATAAGTAAGAAACATCCATGACATCGGTAGACTTTCTTTTGTACTCTCTCTTCCCTCTTCCTTCTCCAGAGTGATAACTTGTTGAGTTATCTGACAGTGGAGGAGACTCTGACCTACACCGCTCAGCTGGCCCTGCGGAAACTCTCGTCTGCAGCCACCAAGAAGAAGGTGACTTTCAAGAGCCTCTTCTGCACCCTATCAGTTTTCCTCAGCTGGAACTTGGCATTTCAGCAGGCTAGAACAAATACAAAAAGGAGACGAGTTTTATTCCAAGAATACTTCCCACTGTTATTCAGGATGTCAGCAAATAGCCGAATAACTGACCCAAATGTAAAGATGTTAATTTAGTCTTGTTATTTATCATGGCATTGTCCTAACTGCATTGTGATATTCTGATGTATAGTTGGCTATACAAGACAAATACAGCTGAGGCCAGTGTTATGGTAAAAGACAGTTACGTATATATACACCTCAGGATTATTTGTTAACATTTCTTCCAGTCGGATGAGTTAGATATTCATTTGAACCCCTAAAGATTTACTGTGCATTGTACCAGTGTGTCTTTGCTTCAGCTAGTCATGAACACTTTCACTGATGCAGCCGGTATAATGCTGATATTCTGCTCATCATTTTTTTAACTTAGAAATTAAAAGGAATTACTTCCTCTTATTTCCTATATTCCATATTTCCTTATGCCCCTGTCCTTCACGCTGAACCATTTCATAGGGCAGTAATAAGCAGAAAGTATTCATACTAATTAGAGCTAGCATCTAATAAACAGCCTACATCACAGCTCTCCAGAGAGTTTCATTTCACTTGTAAGCAGCTCAACCCTTACAACAGGATTATCAGAAGAGGGAATAGGAAGGGTATATTTCAAGTTTGTTATGTATAGAAGTTATTGGGCTTTTTTCTTATCGACTTACATATTTTCAAATGTAATTGACTGAATTTATTGTAAATTGGGCTTATAAACACATGGACACTACTGTGTAATATATGTTTAGAGATATATGTAATAAGTACAATACAAGAAAAGCTCAAGTTTCATTTGTGGGCCGTATTCCATTATACTTTTTTCATTTGCTGAGGGCCGATCAAAATGTCAAAATGTCCCTGTAGTTTTGGACACCCCTGATCCAGGCCCTTGTCACCTGACCTTTGACCTCCGGTCTGTGCAGGTTTCGGCGGTGATGGCCGAGCTGAGTCTGAGTCACGTGTCCCACAGTGTCATCGGAGGTCGGGTTTTCCCAGGGATCTCTGGGGGCGAGAGGAGGAGGGTCTCCATCGCCAGCCAGCTTCTTCAGGACCCCAGTGAGTATCTCTGCAGCTGGGAAATATACGTGTTATCTGAGAATCAGGAACCTCCAAAGGGCCCTTTAGCTGTGAAGGTCAAAGCTACTATCCGTTAGAGTCTTAAAGCTTTACTGAAATAAATGAGGAGATGGGAAGTAGATAAACTAAAGTGTTAGAGGGGATTTATTTTAAGGTTTGAGACACATTGTTTGGGGATTATTATACAAAAGGGGCTGCGACAGAATATCAGAAAGATGTCCCTAATATTCTGCACAGTCAGGAGATTAGTAAATTATTGCATTAACACTAGAGATTCTAGACCGTTGAACCTGAAGTGTCAGCAAATATCATTCTACAAATATATGTACCCCTCTCTTAAACAACTAAGCTGCACATGATATATTTATATGAGTGTGATTTGCTTAACCTGGCCATCTTAAAAACATTAAAAACCGTAAAACACATATAATTCCCCCCTGAAGAAGAAACATGACTAAATTATGCAATGCTTCTACTTTTCTTAAACTTTCACTCACAGAAGTTTCAGCAGCATAAATACCTTACCATCTGAGTACTTAGAATAACAAATTATGTAAAATGTGTGTGTAAATACTGGAAATAACTCAACACTCAGTGTAGCCCATACTTCAAAGACAGCCGTTCAGAGATGGTCTCTTTCTCCTGATATCCCATCCAGAAAATGTGGCCAGTATTAGACCTATACAACAAATTATACTTTATGCAAATGCTGCTGGAGATACTTATGAAAGCAATAGGATTGTGCTATGTGTCTGAACAGAAGAAATTCAGCAGAAGATATCTCTCTCCCCAGAGACTTCTAGAAGGAGTCTTAAACACAAAGGGATCTGAGAAAGAGAGGAATAAGGAAAGGACAGAGGGAGAGATGGAGAAGAGTAATGAAAGAGCGGGTTATCACACAAGGAAGGGAATGAGCAGAGACCCAACTGTGTGTGTGACTGTGTGTGTGTGTGTGTGTGTGTGTGTTGTGTGTGTGTGTGTGTGTGTGTGTGTGTGTGTGTGAGTGTGTGTGTGTGTGTGTGTGTGTGTGTGTGTGTGTGTGTGTGTGCAACTCTGCGTGTGTGTGTGTGGGTGTGAGAGTGTGGGAGTGTGCTTGGGCTCATCCCAGGTGTAGTTTATCAGTCATGCAGTCCTCCAGGGAGGTTGAAGGGTCTCAGTCCTCATTCAGGATTAGACTGGCCATGGACACACACACACACACACACACACACAACACACACACACACACACACACACACACACACCACACATGCTTTATGAAGACACACACACACACACACACACACACCACACATGCACACACGCAGAGCCGCACACAAAGTAATGAGAGGTTCCCATTCGCTGCCTTTCCAATCAACCAGGAATGAATTAATCTCACAATTAAAGCATCTGCTAATTCCACCCTGCTTTCATAATGCAACGAGGCAATCTTTTAATTGTCCTAATTAGAGTAATTAACTAAAAAAGAAAAAAAGAGAACTCACTTATCTTCACAAGTTAAGTTGGCCCCGTTGAGGGTCCTGCCTGTGCCACTTAATGTGAAGTACATTTGAAAGTTTCCAAGAAAAAGTTATTGTGCTGCTTGTGTTCAATGTGAGACATACCTGCGTGAGCTGATGATGTCAGTGGGTTGATGTTATTGCAGGGGGTGATCCTATTGGATGAGCCGACCACCGGCCTGGACAGCATGACGGGCCAATCAGATCGTGGAGCTGCTGGCCGAGCTTGCCAGGAGGAACCGTATCGTCATAGTATACCATCCACCAACCACGCTCCGAGCTCTTCAGGGTGAGTTCAGAGAGAAGCTGAAGTAAAAGAGTGAAACTTTCTTAAAGAACAGATTCACATTTTTTCAGATTTGTTTTCAACTTATACAACTCTGTGTGTGTGTGTGTGTGTGTGTGTGTGTGTGTGTGTGTGTGTGTGTGTGTGTCTGCTGTGTGCTGTGTGTGTGTGCTGTGTATGTGTGTGTGTGTGTGTGGTGTGTGTTGTGTGTGCGTGTGTGTGTGTGTGTGTGTGCGTGTGTGTGTGTGTGTGTGTGTGGTGTGTGTTGTGTGTGTGTGTGTGTGTGGTGTATGTGTGTGTGTGTGTGTGTTGTGTGTGTGTGTGTGTGCGTTGTGTGTGGTGTGTGAGTGTGTGTGTGTTGTGTGTGTGTGTGATGTGTGCGTGTGTGTGCGTGTGTGTGTGCGTGTGTTGTGTGTGTGTGTGCGTGTATGTGTGTGTGTGTGTGTGTGGTGTGTGTGTGTGTGTGTGTGTGTGTGTGTGTGTGGTGTGTGTGTGGTGTGTGTGTGTGTGTGTGTGTGTGTGTGTGTGTGTGTGTGTGTGTGTGTCACAGGTGTTCAGCAGGATAGCTATAATGAGTCGGGGGGAGCTGGTGTTCTGTGGGCAGCCAGAGGAGATGGTGGACTTCTTCAGCCAGTGTGGATATGAGTGTCCAGAGTACTGCAAACCCTTTTGACATCTATGGTACCACATGCTATTACATTGTGTTACTAATACAAAAACATGTACACCTTTTGCATACAAAAAAAACAAGTGTATGTGTGGCATGAACATTAAAATATTTCCTATGTGTGTCATTTCAAACAGTTGACTTCACCTCAGTGGACACACGCAGCAGTGAGAGGGAAGCAGCCACTTTCAGTCGCATGCATGAGATCACCTCGTCCTATCAGAGGTCTCCCATCTACCAGTGCATGCTGGGAAAACTGGAGCAGAGCCTGCAACGGGTGCACAAGCCAGCCATCCCCTACAAGAGCAAAGAGTCCCCAGCGGTGCAGCCAAACTGGCAGTTCTGTTCAGGTCAGAGGCCTCAGCCCCTACAGTAGATATAACCAAAACAAAACAGCTGATTACTGCCTACTACAGACATTTAGATTTAGATTCCTAAGTATACTCTTGCATCTTTATCATTCTTGTACAAAAACCAGCATTTCCTGTTAATCATTTCTATTTATCGTGTTGCAAGTTAAAGGTAGTTCCTTCTGTCTTCATAACTTGTTCCTGTTTGCCACCTGTGTCTCATCGCCTTATGTTTTGTCTGTTGCCGTATGATTGTTGCATCTGACAACAGGTACAGTATGTGTGTTTACATGTATCTCTATGTGTGGTCTGCGTGCAGGCGGACACTAAGAAACCTGTCCAGAGACAGGATGGGGGTCCTGATGCGTCTGTCCCAGAACCTGATCTACGGTCCTCTTCGTGGCCTTCTTCGTGATGCATCTAGACATGGACGTCAGTAAGGGAGCAGTGGCAGGACCGCATCGGCATCATCTATCAGAGCATTGGAGCTTCACCTTACACCGGCCATGCTGAATGCTGTAGCTCTCTGTGAGTCCCAAGAACACCACACACCTGTACATAGAAGGATAAACATTCACTTAATCCACGTTTATGATTTTTTCCAGACATTTGAACTGAAAGTGAAACCGTTTGCCACCCTTTAAATATCAAGCAACTCTCAGATAGTGTACATATTCCCATATTGCTGCATGTCGTCCCCTATCTCTACCCATTTCATGTCATCCTGTCCAGAATATCAAATATGAATGCAGAAAGCCAAACAAAAGTTAATCTGATGATAGATAACGTAAAAAATGTATTAGACATTGACCTGGAAAATCCAAGGTTGTTTCCTGAAAATCGATCCTTTTTCAAAAAACTAAAATGAAATATTACTATGAAGCAACTGTACCTGTTATGACACCACCATTCGTCTCAGTTCTGAGTCTTAATATTAAATAACTAACATTGTTGGACTTACTGGAATATCCAAAGCAAAGACAGGGGTGCCTGCATATATCACCGTACACATGTTAACAATGATAATACGATGACTTCAGGGCAATTCAAAAGTGCAAGCATATCACGTGATTAAAAGAGATGTATTATCTTTATCAACAGCATGTTCGAAACGTCTTTATCTCAGCTGTGTAAGCTCGCTTATCTCTGTTTTTGTAGGTGAAAGGGCTCTATTGCACTATTTTTGATCCCTTCAGCAGAAATATGTTATATCTAGCTTGGCGTTTGCTCGTTGAAAATACCCAAAGAGACTTTATTTCCCACCAGTGTCTCTCGTAGGTCAAAGTAACACATGTAGTGGGATGATTTAATTATAGCATTAGTAGTACAACAGATTAGAACTGCAGTTTGATTTGATCAGAAATATGTCTTAATCTGTGCAAACAAAACATGTCTATTAGCATAGTTTTAATGTCAGGAGTATTTGCATTTCATTTATACATACATTTGTTATTTGCTGTAGAACTGTCCACAGTTAGTTAGGCTGTTATGTATGGGTTACCTTCAGAGGGACGTCGACCTTTCCTCTATTTAAAGCTCAATGAATCCAAGTGCCTTTCCCACATACAGACCTATACTAGACTACTAGTATCTACAGTATGTTATCTGTCTTTACAGTGATTGTGTCTCTTTGTGTTGAAAGGGTTAATGGTTAGTATTTAAAGCAGCTGCTGTGACCTGTAGTAATCTCAATGCAGATAACGTTCACACACTATTACTGTATCGACACAGAGATGACAGATAAATACAGACCTGTTGTTCGGGTGTTTTTTAAATTCATTATAATGTATTTTGTCATAGTTGCAATTTAAGAGTTTCACAGCCAAGAAACAATATGTCTTTCCCAATTAGTAGTATTGGTTAAATTAAGGGGGTTAGGTAAATATTAAACTGATTAGGCTTAATTACAGGCTTAATTCAAATCTGTCTGAACATTAATTTCACACTTCAGGTTGTGTATTAAAAAATACAATAACCAGTGAAGGATATTGGGTATTGTTGTGATTATCTGTTCAATGTCTTGCTCCCTTATCAGCTGAGTTTAAGTGCTCTGCCTGATACTGAGGATGCAGAGATATGATAACACACTGGGCTGAACAGAAGTATCACTTTAAAGTAAGACGTAATTAAAAGCTCTTTCCTAAGAACTGAAACAGCCGGAGGTAGTGATGAGGGGGAGGTGTATCACACTGACCTTGAGGTTTTAATGAGGTTGTCGGAATAACCTTTGCAAGTTCTGAATTATGGTCTGATCGATCTGGAACAAGACTAGATGTCAAGGACATTCAGTAACCTTTGAACTGGATTACCTTTGGTCTTCGTGATGAGGTATACAAATAAAGCTTTATTGTTTTAATGATGCCTCTCTTTTTTAAATTCAAGATTTCACAATATAATCTGTCAAATGTTGGTTACTTTAAGTATACATTCTAATCCTGAATGTGATACAAAGTAAGTACATTCAAATCGACTTCCATGTAGTCTTTCCTCAATTAACTCTAACAACAACGTAGAAGCAAATTTGAAGTGTATTTGTATTGAATATGATCCATTTTGAGGAGCTTCATGGGCTTTAGGTACTAATAGTTTAATCCTTCTTTCAGTCCCCGCGTTGGTTGTGCGAGCCATCAGTGATCAGGAGAGTCAGGATGGTCTGTACAGTAAATGGCAAATGTTCTTGGCGTACATCTTCCACATCCTTGCCCTTCAGCATTCTGAGTGTTTTCATCTTCACCTCCTTCCTTTACTGGTGGGTAGTACATACGTGTGGTTGGCCATGGAGCATCAGACATTGTGTGATTTAGTTTAAAGGATCCTACTTGCACATTAAACTTTCCTCAAGGCTTTAAAGGATCTACAATTTCTACTTAAACATCTCCCAGCCTAAGCTCTGATCTCTCCCCGGACTAACTCTTCTTTTCTCCCTCCTACTATGTTTGTCCCCTCTCCTTTCAGGACGGTGGGGATGCACCCTGACACCTTGCGGCTTCCTGTGTTATTCTGCTGTAGTCCTGGTGCCACATATTATAGGTGAGCTGATAAGAAGAACAACTATCATTCTTTAACAGCTCCCAAGCACACATTAGTCATATTCTTTTTGTAAAGTAAAGGATTACAAAAATCATGCTAGAATCTGCTCCACGATCTTATCCAAACATCGTAAAACTTCGTCTCATGTGTTGTTTAGAGCTTCTGTGCCCACACGAGTAGTGTCAAACCTATAAGTATGTCGGGAGTTGTTTAATGTCATATTTCGCTGTTTATGACTTTAGTTGTATATATTAATTACGTTTTTGTTTTATCTTCAGGTGAGCTTTTGACTGTGGTTGCTATTAGGAGTTGGTCCAAAACCCTAACATGGTCAACTCTGGAGTGGCTCTGCTCAATATTTGCAGGGATCATGGTGGGATCTGGCTTCCTAAGGTAAAACATTAGAATACATACTGACCTAAAGCAGTTCATATTTTAGACTTTTTTCCAGGTTTTCATTGTATAGGATGGTATTATAGATGCCACTGCCAACTTCCACATGCTACGGGTAACCCTCCCTCTCCTCTGCCTCCAAAAGGAGCACCCTCCAGATGCCGGTGGTCTTCCAGTGGCTCAGCTACCTGACCTTCCAGAAGTACAGCTGTGAGCTGCTCATAGTCACTGAGTTCTACGGACTCGACTTCACATGCAGTAAGTCGTTTCACCATGGCACCGTCCTGTGTTCACCTACGCTGAGAATGAAACTAGAAAAATGCACAGTAGCTATTTACAAGATGTGCTTACAGCTCACAGACAATGATGTGTCCATGCATGACTATTAGGAGTCTTACTTGGATAGCTTGAAAGACACCTTTGAGCTGTTTTAGAACTGTTTTTATCTTTAAAACCCGACATATTGTTAACTTTCTATCTGGTGTGTTGTTGCAGATGCTTCCAAACCGTTGCTGCCTGGCGCCTGTATGATCACTCAGGGCAGTCAGATCATTGATGAGGGCTACCCTGGCGCTCTGTCCAGATACACACTAGACTTTGTTCTCCTCTACTCCTTCCTCCCCGCTCTCCTGCTGCTGGGCGTCATCAGCTTCAAGATCAGAGACAAGCTCATCCGTCATTAAAACCACAGACAAACTTTTGAGGGAGAATCTTCGGTAGAAACATGAAGATAAACTGAGTTTGCTTTGAAGATGTAAAACAGATTAAGAAAAAGATTTACATTATGATGTAGTCCAAACAGATGAGGAGTACTGAAGTGGGTCACCTGTGTTTGCTTCCGTTTCAGCAATCAAGGCATGTTCCTTTGTTTTATAGAATATAATTTAAATATGTCAGAGCAGTGATGCAAGTACAAAGAACTTATCCCATCAAAATCCCATTGCAGTGTGCACAGTACAACAGGACGTATCTGTGTAACCTGGGATGCAGCTATTGACATTAAAAGTGGGGTATGTCATTTTGGAGAAACCAGCTCGAGTGCGCTAGAATTTCAAAGTACACAACCGGAAAAAATCTGCCACTTCCTTCAGACTTCCTTACAGAGCCCCTCCTCCAACACACACGAACGCGCAAATGACCAATGAGGGCACGAGATAAGTCTGTGTACGAGATGGAAGGCTGACAGGCAGGTAGGCCATCCAGTTACTTCAGCCGGGCCGGCTCAGATGATTGGTCGTGCTTTTTACAGCGCCACGGCTTCCACAGATGACATTTTTTAATGTATTTATTGTCAAAGCGTTTAATATATTCATTGCTATCGGGATGTTAAGAGCATTCCATGGAATATAAGAAGTGTTTCTGAAATAAATGACATACCCCACCTTTAAGCCAATTGATACGACTTCATGCTAAATAACTGAGAGGTCCCTGTAATAAATATAACTATTAATCCATGCTGCTTTAACTCTGATTGGGCTCAAACAACAACTGAGACAGACCGACCGATTCAACCTAAGCTTGTTTACAGTTTAAATAACAATATCTGCAAATATTTAAAAATCATTATTTTTATATAAAAGTTACAGAATAGAGATTTATTTAACTACAAATCACCAGTTTGATTCATGTTCTAAGCACTATATTGAATATTGAGTGCATTACTTTTTTAATATTGTGATTGTAATGTATAATGAATAAGAAGTGACATTTATATTTTTTGAACATATTTTATTATTAGTATACAAGTAGTTTTGTTAGGTTTGAAAAAAATAATGACACAAAAGGGAATAAATAAGTACACTGTATTTACATGAATATGTGGTGTGTGTTTGTGTGAATATAAGTCAGATGATCTCATGTTTCCAGCTCCAGTCCTTTCCATGATTTAGCTGCTTCCCTCTTATACTGCTCCAACTCCTGAAAACAGATGTCGACAGAAAGAGAGGAGCTTATTAAAACATCATATTTTACTACAGCAATGAAGTACACTTAAACAAAATGGCAAGTAGTTGCACAAACATGCACTATAATACAGAAATACCTGGAAATGAATGGTAATAGGTAAATTATGGTTTAAACACTTGTGAGGCCTACAGAGGAACACTGCATTATTGAACTTACATTAAACACAAATGTTAAGGGCTTCTTTCAATGTTGGGCATGTTAGTAGACTTATTATATAGTAGAATATTTTTACTTTGTCTGCATTTTTTCTTTAATATTTGATGTATCCATACAAGGTGTATATATATATAAGGTAGTAATGATGATACAAATCTGCCAATGGTAATGCCAATGTGATAATTAGCCATGATGATTAGCCAGCAATTTGACTGCCTGCTTGTTTTTCAATTACAGATGGGAAGCAGTAGTTTAGCTAGTTGTTGTGGATATTTGAAAGACGGCAGGGATTTAACTTTGTTTAGCTTTGTGACACAAATGTAATGATAACATATAAGAGGCGCGATCTGGGTCTAGCACAGGGTATATGCAGGAATCCTGAAGTCAAATGTAAAACCTTTTAAGACCTTTTTTAAGACCCTTTCCATACATTTTAAGACCTCATCGCCACTTCGAGTTTTAACCGGTTACCTTGGCGACACACTTTACCTCACATTGACTATATACAGTATTGATTGTCCTTCCTCCTTATCTTCCAACCATTTGGATGCAAACTTGCATTTCCCCATAACGATGTTGTTTAGCAACCGGCGTAAACGGACCTTCGCGCGCTATCAAGCAGTGAGCGCGCGATGTCCTGTTCAGATGACGTCAAACCCAACGGGATGCCATCAATAAACTACACAGAATCACACTACACACCTACGCAATGATTACATTCAGGCAGACTGTAGAATACAACCTCTTTGGACCATTTATATACTTATTGAAAACAAGCTACAAAATGTAATACCTTGGAAAATGCCGTTTAATACTTTTTAATAGCCTTAATTTTCGCTAAATTGATTTATCAACTTGTAATACTTTTTAAGACCCCCTGTGATAACATATAAGAGGTGCAATCTGAGTCTAGCATGAACAAAAACTCAGAAAGGAGCCGGCCCTGACCAGCAAGTTGGCCTTGAAAAACGTCCCTATGGAAATAAACCTTAACCCTAATTCTCTTATTGGTTACCCAGAGCCATCTCATTATGCGCCAGTCAGCGATAACAGCACTGTGAGGTTACTGCAGTTCAAGTGCCAGTCTGTTTATGAGACCATGACAGACACAGGGAAGGTTACTCTGGAGCATTGGCCTTGATTAAGACACATGCAGAGCAGTTAAATCTACTATCTTCCTCGATACCTCTTAGCAGGAAGGTCAAAGGTTAGGGTCACAAAACACAGATAACTGACTGGTGAATTTAGAAGGTCAGCGATTGATCACCACACTGCCAACTCACGAGTTATGACGCTGACTGCAGAAGCACAGTCTGTAATACAACACAAGCATTGTGATTGGTCTAGACATGTCACCTGATCTTTCTGGGCTCTCATGGCATCAATCTGAGGATCACTGTACTGGGGGTCTTTGGCTGGATCCTTTAGCTCCCTCTGCTCACTGGTAGACTGCAAAGAAACACAAACACGTTACGATTGGACTCTTGATAGATGTCCTTGCTCATGTAAACATGCATACATGTATGAAGGAATACTGAGAATAAGATTGCCCAGTTTGAGGGCCTTATTTTTCTTAAACATCAGGGACTGAATCCATTGCTTTTTGCAATTTGGATAAAGATAAAAGGTGATTGAAGTACCTCTTGGGGGAAGACAAGCTCGTAGACTTTCTTCCAGAGGTCCTTAGGGTTTTTGGCATGCAGAGAAGTGATGTCAACATCAGTAGCAGGAGGGGAACCTAAAGGAACAAAAACAAAACAATCCTGGTCACAACAATGAAAGTCAGAACAACAGGAGGTGGATATAAATCAGACGTTTTTCATACAAACAGCAGCAATAATTATTACATTTATGTTGGATGCATTACTGCTTTTGGCCACCGGTTGGTGCTGTGCTCACCGATTTGGCTGAAGGAGTCGGAGCCTGCTGGAATGATGAGGGGCTTGGTGCAGTCACAGCACACAGTTTTCCTGATCATAACATTCAGACAAAAATACAACTTAAAGCAAAGTATTAAACCTATAGTACAGTAACAAATGTACGTAATGTATAATCCAGTTCGAGCTAGAGTTCATATCACAGGGTCAAAATGGTTCAAGCTGTTATATGAATGAATGAATGAAGTCCTACTGAAGTATAAGTCAATTGGGAAATCGACCAAGTATCAGTGATACCACTTTAATAGTTATGTTTTTAAAGAGCTAAATAATACCAGTCCCTGTCATTGTCCACCACTAGTTAGTGAACAGTGTTACCCTCCTCACCCTCTGTCCAGACCGAAAGCCATGTGAGAGAAGAAGCCTTTGGTTTTTGACATCAGGCTCTCTGTCTTGATGCTAGTGAACTGATACAAAAGATAAATAACAGGAAGAGAGGACAATTAAATCAGCGGAAACAGTTGAAAGAAATTATAGATTCAACAGTAAGAGAAAGCAACAAAACACACATGTTATGTTAATCAAATGTTATGCTTAATGTAAATATGTCACATGTATAGTTAAAGCTCACTTACAATCAGAGAGGCTGCGTAGTAGTGGGCGACAAAGCGCAGTGTTTTACTTATTACCTTCCTCTTATCAGAGTCAAATTCCTGCAACAGACAGAAAACAACTCTCCTTCGATAATGTGTAAAAACAAATCATACAAACATCCATAAATATGTGAATTAGCCAATATGAGACCAACTTCCAGGTTATGCTGAAACATGTGTTCTACCTGAAAAAGGTCATATTTACTGCCGATGATGAGCAGAGGAACAGGAAAGGGACTGATCAGCTCTCTGTCCTGTTGGAAAAGTCACAATGAAATCAGGATAGATTTACCATCAGTGGCGGACTGACATTCACGACGAATCCCGATGGGCCGGTACCGAAGTGGGCCGGTCGGACGATGTGGGCCGGTACCGAAGTGGCCCGTTGACAATTTACTAGTGGGACCGAAGTGGGCCGGTCGAGATGCCCGGGCTGATTTTTAGTCCCAGTCCGCCCCTGTTTACCATCCTACATCTGACCTGAAGGCATTAGACACATTATTCCAACTTTGTGTCTACTATTACCTCATTCACACCACACAACTCTGGTTCAAGCTCCGTGCTAGAGCTTTTCAGGTTCAGAACCGGTTCTTCGGTTTAGCTCCGGCTCTTTTCACACTGCCCAGAGTCCGACTGGTGCTGCGTCATTGCGTCATCGTTTGCGTCATGACGTAACCGTTTACGTGCCTGCTTCAAGCCAAACCGCGCGGAAACCCCTCACAGCTCACACCGACAACAACAATGGCCGATTGTGCTCCAGCTTCCTCTGCACCTCTTCAGAAGACCAGATTCCCAGTAGGTAGCTGGTCTCTTCAGTGGACCACTGCTGCTTGTTAAGTTGCTCCATTGTTGTGTACAAACTGGATACAACGCCGGCTTTTGTTGTTGTTCAGGAGTTGATCCCGCCCCTGCCCCTGCCCCTGCCCCTGCCCCTGCCCCTGCCCCTGCCCCTGCCCCCGCCTCGACGTAAGCATGACGTATGCGGTGCTTTTGCTCTGGCCGGACAATTTTTTGGTGCTTGAAACGAACCGGATTCCGGAGCTAAGAGGCTGCTCCGCTGCGGTGTGAAGAGGAAAACCCGGTGCTTTTCAAGCTCCAGCTCCGAACCGGCCCTGAAACACCGTTGGTGTGAATGAGGTATCTGAGGAAAGTTTTGGTGAACTTTTCTCTGGGTTTTCACCTTGTTTGTTTAGTTTATTAGTATTTCTCTTTTCACATTTTGATTTGTAACATATAATTAGTTTATAGTTTATTTGCTACTATTGCCCTGGACTGAAGAATAGATAATGCTGATATAATGTTGAGTGTGATGAGCTGAGGTCTTACAGGATAGTCTTTCGGTAGGACGCGTGCTGAGTGGACAGGCGTCTGATGTTTGGCTTTCTGTGCTTTTTGTGCCTGGGAAGAGACTTTCTCCAGCTGAGCTTGTGATGCCTGCAGCAGCCTCTCCAGGGTTCCCCACAGGGCGTTGGGTTTAGAGAGGTCCAAAATGAGGATGACAGAGAGAGACCTGGTAAAAGGCATCAAGGAGTATGTTATCTGGCAGGATACAAAAGGTGTTGCTACAGCACTGAGGCGCAGAGCAAGGAACCCCTGACACTGCTGTCCAAACCATGATGACTACTATATAGATGACTAAAATATTTCTACCGATTTAAATATAGAGTTAAAAACAACCAATCCAAATAGTGTGTTGAGAAATGTGGCTTGACTATGTAACAAAGTACATTTATGATCAGGAATGTGTGTGAGGTACCTACCTGATGCTGGCTGGAGAGATGGGGATCTGGACCAGGTCTGACAAAGAGGTCCCTCCTCCCAGCTCCCATAGGTGGGCTATGTCTTTGGGCTGAAAGAGGAAGCCACCACCAACAGTATTATTACACTATCTCATTTAAAGTAACATTGTATTGCACATAAATTAATAATTTCTGTTTTTAGTAAATAGACTTTAATGTCACTTAAATACAGAATGAACATGGTCTATTATTCTCAATGTGCTGGAGAACTAGTCAAAGTCAAAGTCAACTTTATTGTCAATCTTTCAGTTTGTGTGTACAGACAGAGAGTTCGAAATACCGCTTCCCACAATCCCGAATACAAAAATACAATAGAATGACTAGAAGCTGTGATGGCTAAATGTAGTATTTACCAGGCTTACATTTCACACAACTCCTTCTCATCAATATAGATTAGAATGGTATTGAAAGTCTTTGTCAGGACCTTCTGTTGTTTGTCTTAATCCTATTTTTACAAAGTGTCCAAGACCAACAGGGCTTTCTTACTGTGTTGTGTCCTCGGGCCTCCTGCCAAAAGTATACTCCAGAGCCAGAGTTGGCTTGGATGGTTCATCCCTGGTAGAAAAACAGCATTATTGGTGTTTAGAAACAACACAAATACAAAAAGGTCAACTAACAATCTTTCAGTGATTTCATTCATCACTGTCTGCTTCTCAAATTGAGCTGCACCTTTGAACATAGATTTACATATTGCATCCTATTCCTCGGGCCAAGATTTTCCTCTGATGCTCAAACTATTATTGTTGATAGTTAGCATTTGTTTTCTAGTGAATGGTCTCTTCCAATCATACAGAAAACCCATTTAAAGTAGTTGTTTACGTGTGTTAGGCTAGATTGCATCACTTTTCAGGTAATAGTTGATAACATAGACCAACCCCATGCTCACCTGTCGAGGCATCTGAGGAGATGGACGTTTTACCCTGAAAAAGAAAGCAAAGGAGAACTTAGTAGCTACAACTTATCTTATAGCAAGACTGTTTCCATTAAAAAGCAATACGTACTGTCAGTGTTGTGGCTTGGCAGTGAACAAACCCCAGCCTTGCTCCCCATCAGGAACACGGTCCTCTCGCTGACCGCCTCCTCCTCCTCGCCTGCAGCCTCCAGGCTCTGCACCTCCGCCGCAGCCTGCTCCCATAGCGAGTCCGAGCTGTCAAATACCACACAAAGTCAAAACATTGTTTGTAAAAAAATGTTATTATGTCAGTGATAGGGTTATAAATAAGAAAAGTCCTATACAAACTTATTCTCACCTTATTTTCGGCATCAAATTGGATTTTCCCTAACTTTGACAAGCTAGCTAAACGGCTAGAACCGAAAGAAACAAACGTTGCCAGAGTAACGGCGCATTTAGAAGATGTCATCATTGGGACTCCTTGGTGAGCATTGTGGGTAATGTAGTGTCTTCATGAACACAGTCAAGGTTTGTCAGTTTTGTTCAACATTTTCAATGCTCCAATTATACAAAATATTAGTTTAAAAAAACCAAACATGATCTACAATGTTAGTCTTAGATTGTGTTAGATATCGTCTGTACAATAAAAGCACATGTTTTTCTGTTAAACTACACCATACTTTTGTTATTCCTCTAGCAAAATTGAGGGGCACAAGATAAGACACCTCAGGCTAATTGTAATGTTATCTTCCAGGGTTTAAAACAGTATTTGTTGTCAGTCAAACATGCCTTGAAATAACTCTCACATGTATTTTTAAAACCTTTTTTGTGGAAAACCTACCTACATTTTAAGAGACCTTTAATGGGAAGTTGTTGGGGTCTTTGCCCTTAATGTTGACCCACTGTCATGTTAGATTCATACATCATTTATCGTGATTTGAACAATAAATGAAAACTTTGGGAATACTCCTCTTTAATCAGAACACAATGAAAATGATCAGAAGCAGGGAAGAAGTTCTCCCTAAATCAGTTAAATAAAAAACCACAAACAAGTAGGCAGAACACTGAGAAAGTAAATCAATACATAATCATTTGACAAAATACGGTACAGTAAGGGCATCTCATTCATAGCACAGCTTTCCTTAAGCAGCGCAAATGAGACCTTGAGTAAATCAGAACAAGACATTTCTCCGTGTAGCGATGATCTTTAAAATGTTCTTAGTTCAGGAGATCGTGAACAACTTGAAATATTTTGCGTTGAATCCTTTAAATGCAGAGGAACAGAGCGGATGATGGTGAGTCTCTTATTTACGAAAAATATGTAATCAGTTGGTCTTTCATGCCTTTTTCCGTGGCTCGTCAGAATAAGGTACATTTTCGAGTAGAAGGCTCTCTCTGGGTCGAAGCACTGTGAGAGAAATGTAAAATCAGGGTCAAGATGTATGTTTTATATTTGTTGAAAAAAGACAAGATTATGGAACATAACAACATACAGAGTTTCTTATCTCCAACATGTTCCACTTGTAACACGCCTTCCCGCAGAATAGCTTCCACAGATGAGCCCATTTTCATCATCTGTAAAAAAACAGAAGAAGGGTAATGAGGGTTAACAGATGTGCTATTGTGTTTATTACTGAATGCTGTAGCCCTCACTGTGTAGACATGAAAAATAAATTAAAACATATTTTGGATTGGACTTTGAATCAGCAGATACTTAATCGGAAAATAACTTAGATTAGTATAAGAAGCTAAATGTTATTTAGATGCACAACTGCTAAAGTACAGAGTTGATATGAACATGAACACACAATGTCCCTTCATGTTGTACTTTCACTGTACCTTCTTAATGTTTTCTTCTGACGTTTCCTCTTTGTTTTTCCGGAACTCATCGTTGATCTTTAATCTTGCAGCTTTGTGGAGAGAAAGGATTTAGACGTTTGAACAATAAGTTCACCATTGTTATACACACTTCATTCTGCAGTGCTACACTTAGTTTAATGTATAAATACTGCTGCCACTTATTTATAAATCTGAATGTGTACTTCTGTAAATTGTAATATTGTAAAGCACTACTTTCTTAAATAATAATGTTCTATTTTCTTTGTCTCTATCTATGCTTTGCTGTAAAAAGTTACAATTCTGATTCTAATAATCCAAAGAAAGATAGCCACGGATATTCTTCTGCTGGGAATCAAACCAACATTAGTCTCACCTGTCAGTGCTTTGTCATCATCTTTGAATACAGCCATCCTGGTTCTGTGCAACGATTTAAACGTGCTGAGGATCTGCAAATGTAATACACAAGATATAAACCACAGACTGTATGTAAACACGAAGCTTTTACAACATCAGGACCTTGACAGTCGCACTTATGACACTATAATTCCCTGTCCTTTTGGCAATCTACTTCATAGAATATGCAAACATGTGTATTGAGAAAACAAACAAACTATATAAACTAAAATAAAACATTGTTATTATGATGTTATTTATATAAACGCATGATTATTTCGCGAACTCACCTTCAAACGTGTGCCCATCTTGACTTCTTTAGCTCACTTCCGGTTTGGAGGAAGTACCAAGGACCAATCAGTGAATACTTTGCGATGACGCGTTTCTGTAGTTTCACAAAGCCACAACCGGCGCTGACAGTTACTCTCATATGCACCAACATGGCTGATGAAATGGCTAAAGCGCGGGTTGCCAAGCCCGGTGGAGACACTATATTTGGAAAAATCATAAGAAAAGAGATTCCTGCCACCCTGCTCCATGAAGATGACTTGGTATGCATTCAGCATTTCAACTCATAAACGCTGTTTCTGTGCAGTTATCCGCACTGCGCCCTGCAGGAGACGTGAAGCTAACGTTAGCTTCATGCTAGCTGTGTAGAAACTGTACTGTATAATGTTGTGAATATTAAGACACGTGTCGTGTAGGTCGTTTTTCTCAGAATACAACCAAACCAAAATAGCAACCCTGAGTACATAAATGCTTTAAAACAGTAGAAGGGCTCCTAGCCATGGTTTATATTTGTGTCTGCATATTGAAGTCATTGCTTTAGTTGGCTTTATACCAAAGTACGGAAAGGTCCACTTGTCTGCCTGCTACTCCAGCTGATCTACAGTTTAGCCAGTGTGAGCATGCATGTGAACTTATGGTTGCAGTGAATTGAATTCTTAAAGCAGCTATTGTAGTATTTAACACACATACAACTCTCAAAAAGAGAAGCTGCCTGTGTCATATCCAATCAGAAGGTAACATCAGTCATTCAAACTGCCTGTCCAACAGGTTCACTGCTGTGTGTTTTGTTTATGCATCTGGGTCATGTTACACTTTTTTTTAAAGTTCTTTAAAAATCTCTGAACTTCTTAATAATCCAAATGTAATAAGATTTGATTTCCTTCATTTGCTAAATAGGTCAAATAAGCATTTACAATGTGGCATCTTTGAGACCACACATGCAACATCCTAACACACAAATACTGTAAGATTGTTGTACCAGAAATGGCCAATATCAACATTAAAAATGGTTACTTTGAAACACATGTTGAATTTGTTTTTGAAGATATTTCATTACCAGGATTTAATTTCTTTGCAATACCTCGTCTTGAAGTTTACCCCTCATGCAGTAACAGCACAATATCTATATATACGTACAGTTTATGGGGTGGAAGTCATAATACAAATTGAGGTAGCATCTTTTGCATTGCATCATATTAATGGTTGTACATTTGAACTGGCTAAATTCTTGTTTTAAATGTGTGTTATTTGTATTTCAGTGTATTGCCTTCCCTGATGTTTCACCTCAAGCTCCCACCCACATCCTCGTCGTCCCTAAAAAGCCAATCGTTCAGCTGTCACAAGCTGAGGATAGTGATGCTGCAGTAAGTACAATCCTATAATAGAGTTCCATACGCTTGCTGGAAATCCTTTAAAACACTTGAATTTCAAATGTGTTTTAATTTTGTTCTTGTGTTTTTAAAGCACTATAACATTGTGATAAAGAAGTGCAATGATTCGTATGTTGTAAGAAATGTTTACATAATTTACCACACTCTGAGGGGCTGGAAAAGATTACAAATGTATCTTAAAATGCTTGAAAAGTGCTTGAATTTGACTTCGAATAAGTACACTGAACATGACTGAATCCCCACTATTGTTAAGTATTTGTCCAACAACTGTGACCACTAGATGGAAACCTTCACAAGACGTAATGCTTGTCTTACAGTTACTGTGAACACTGTGTTGTAATTCAGGGGTTGTCTGCTTATACTTTATACATGTATGTCTCTAACTTTAGTGTCATACATCTTTCTCTCTCTGTCTCAGTTGTTGGGCCACTTGATGCTCGTTGCGAAGAAGTGTGCTAAAGAGGCGGGTCTGACTAAAGGCTACCGGATTGTCGTGAATGATGGTCCGGATGGAGGCCAGTCTGTCTACCACATCCACATCCACGTCCTGGGTGGACGTCCACTGGCATGGCCCCCCGGCTAACCTCCCCCCCCACACAGAACATCTTGCCATCAGTGTTGTTTGTCTGTTGTCAAACAACCAGAATAAACCATGTGAATTAAGAGTCAGACAAAACCTGGAAATGCATTCATGATAATAAAGAGCACTTCACAAAAGCAGAACCTTGTCTTTATGTTACATTTTTCAAACCTGGCTTTTTTAAAGGTCACCTATTATGCAAAATCCACTTGTTCATGTCTCTTCTACATCAACACATGTCCCCTCTGTGTAAAGAGGTTCTGAAAGTTTCAGGAAAAAAGATTCTCTCACTTTTTGTCCTGATCCATTTATATCAAAACCTGTCTGAAATGAGCTGATCAGATTTTGGCCACTTTATGATGTCATAACGTTTTTTTGGCTTGTGTAACCATTAGCCAATCACCAACCAAGGTAACACCCCCCACCTTATCACCTGAATCTCTCCTAGAGCACCATTGTGTTCTTTTAACCAAATCTCTCAGAGGGGCGTGGGGAGGGGCTCCTTATTTTCATCTAAAGTAACAGACAGAATCAGCACTTTTGAAACAGGGGGATTATGGGATGCTGCAATGATCTGTTTGGTGTTTGGAGCCAAACACTTCAGAGACAGGTTCTGAAAATATCTGAGACCTGTAATATATTGATGAAAAACAGTATAATAGGGGACCTTTAAGATATGAACACTGAAGGGATTTCAAGCACTGCTGCTCTCTTCACCTTGGTGCCTTTTACAAGCATTTAAGTGAAAGACAGAATTGTCTGCAGTAAGAGAAAGCACACCGGCTGCTGGAGGACTACACACCTCACATTACACTTTGTGATTCATTACCCTGCGCTAGAGAAAGTATCATGTAGTCAGCTTAGTTTAATAGAGTTCGATCCTCTGTTCTCGGCACAGTATTTAGCTGACGCTGGAACTTCAATATTGGGGCTTATTTTGTACTAACACATTCCTTATATTAGCAGTGTATGTTTGGCCTTTTATATAAAATGTTTTGAATGCCTAAAATAATTACAAATATTATAAAAATGCAAAAGCAAACTGCCATTTTCAGTTAAGACATGATACATGTGTTTTTTTTAATCTGTAAGAATTAGGGACATTTGGTA